ATAAAATCCAGTACCTTGGAAGAAACTAAGTGTATTACTTATTATTTTCGGGGGTTCTAATACATTTTTTACCACACAATCTCTAATATTTGGTGCTTTTTTATATATAAATCTGGGTTTCTCCTTGACTATAGTTTTTAAATCTTTGTCCAATTTTTGGTTATGATTTTTTTGGACATTTTTATTTTGTTTATTATATGGTAACACTATAGATATATCATTATTTTCTAAGTTTATCTGATTCTTTACCATATTTTCTGGCGTATAAGACGACTTTTTAACCCCTTGAAAATCTTCTGAAAAGTCAGGGGTCGTCTTATACGCTGGTATACGGCGAGCCGATGTCAGGGCGGCACTTTTTCAGGGGGCGGTGCGGTGCCGCCCCCCTTCCAATGGAAGAGACACTAAGTACAGGGGCGGGCAGGGGGCTGCTGTTTCTTACCTGGCTCCGGTCCCGGTCCCATGACGATCCGGTCCAGGAAGCGCAGCTGCTCCTTCATTCTGTTCGTAACCGCGTGGCCGCTCGGCTCCGCCTCCTCACCAGTGATTAGGCGCCAGAACTGTAGCTCAGGAAAGGCACACAGGCGGCCAATCACCGGCGAGGAGGCGGAGCCGAGCCGCCCCGCGAAAATCGAGTGAGAGAGCGGCCGGTAAGTGTGCAGCAGCACCATGCTGGAACACTATTGGCACTATTCCTCCCCCCCCACTGACACCAACGATGAGGCACTACTCCTCCTCCCCACTAACACCAACGATGGGGCACTATTCCCCCCCCCCACTGACACCAATGATGGGGCACTATTCCTCCCCCCACTGACACCAAAGATGGGGCACTATGAGGTCTGATTTGTTCGCTCGGTCTGACCATTGGTCTGTGGGTGGTAAACGGAGGAGAATTATAGCTTAATTCCAAGGGTTTCACATAGAGCCCTCCAGAACCTAGACGTAAACTGAACCCCCCTGTCAGATACAATATCCCTAGGAATCCCGTGGAGTCTCACCACTTCCTTAATAAAAACTCGTGCTGTCTCAAAAGCCGTAGGTGTGTCTTTCAGAGGTACAAAATGGGCCATTTTGGACAAGCGATCTACAATCACAAACATTGCTGTGTGGTCCTGAAAGGGTGGAAGTTCCACAATAAAGTCAATGGAGATCATTGTCCATGGTCTGTCAGGTATTGGTAATGGACGCAAAAGGCCCCAAGCCTTGTCCCGAGTTGTTTTTTTTCTCTGACAAACAGGACAGGTCTTAACGTATGATTCGCAATCCTTGGCCATATTAGGCCACCAAAATGTACGCTGCAACAGCTCCAGGGTCTTACATACTCCAAAATGCCCTGCCAACGGATGATTGTGGCAATATCTTAGCACTAACGCACGGGCTTCCTCAGGAACCACAATCTGATCCTCCTTCCAGAGCAGCCCTTCCCTATTCAGTAAGGAGACACCGGGTAGAGCTGGCATTCCCACAGACGCGGTCTGTAATCTAGAACGGAGCTCAGATTGGAGGACCAGGAAATTCCCAGAGGACAGGATAGTATCCAGCTTGGGAATCTCTTCAGGGTCCCCAAACATGCGGGAGAGCGCGTCTGGCTTCGTATTCTTTGACCCCGGCCTATAGGTGATATGGAATGAGAACCGTGAAAAGAAAAGTGCCCACCTGGCTTGACGTGGCCTTAGGCGCTTAGCTGTTCTCAGATATTCTAGGTTCTTGTGGTCAGTGAAAATTAATATTGGGTGTGCCGCCCCCTCTAATAAGTATCTCCATTCCTCAAGTGCTACCTTGATCGCCAGGAGCTCCCGATCCCCGATATCATAGTTCCTTTCTGCAGTAGTTAGTTTTTCTAGAGAAGAAGGCCACCGGGTGCATGAACTCCTTGATGCCCTTCCTTTGAGACAGGATCGCCCCGACTGCGTTCTCGGATGCGTCTACCTCCAAGATATATGGTAAGGATGGATCAGGGTGGCTCAGAATAGGAGCTGCAGTAAACAACTCTTTTAAGGCTTCGAATGCTTTCTGTGCTTCAGGTGTCCACTGGAAGCGAACCCCCTGCCTAGTCAGCTGGGTGATAGGGGACACCAGGCCCGAAAAGTTCTTAATACATTTTCTATAAAAATTGGGCGAAGCCAATAAAGCGTTGGACTGCCTTTTTATCAGTGGGTACTGGCCAATCCAAGATGGCCGAAACTTTCTGGGGATCCATGGCTATTCCCATGGTGGAGATGGTTAGACCCAAAAAGGAAATACTATGCTGTTTGAAACAGCACTTGTCTGCCTTGGCATACAGGCTGTGTTGGCGCAGCTATTCTAACACACACCTCACATGACCTCTATGGTCCTCCAAAGTCGTGGAAAAGATGAGGATATCGTCTAGGTATACGGCGACAAAGATATCCAGGTAGTCCCTGAACACATCATTTATGAAATGCTGGAAAGTGGCGGGTGCGTTGCGTTGCATAGGCCGAAGGGCATAACCAAGTATTTGAAGTGTCTGAATCTGGTACGGAATGCTGTCTCCCACTCATCCCCCTCCCTGATACGGACTAAATTATAGGCCCCTCTCAAATCAAGTTTAGTGAAGACAGAGGCTGACTTCAACCTTTGAAAAAGTTCGGGGACCAGTGGCAGCGGGTAGCGGTTCTTGACTGTGACCTTATTTAGGTCCCGGTAATCTACGCAGGGCCGTAGGGACCTGTCCTTTTCCACAAAGAAAATGCCCACCCCGGCTGGTGATGTGGAGGGTCGAATAAACCTGTCAGGGCTCCCAGGTATGACCAGAGGTGTGTGACTGATGCGGGAAACGCAGACTTCAGATATGTGATAAACAATACAATTTATTAACACTAACCATACAAACATAAACGCAGTGCAATACTAAACATAATACAGTGCAAACAAACCCAACCAACCACCCACAGATAACAGTACATACAAGCAAGCGTCGTCAGGCAGGCCGGGTCAATATCAATTGGGCAGGTAGGTACAGGGGGAGCAAGCAGAGATTGGTCGGGGTCACAGGCCAGGTTCAGCAGGTAGCAAGCAGCGTAGTACAGAGGGTCAGGCAGAGGGATGGTCAGGGTCACAAGCCAGGGATCAAAACAGGTAACAAGCAGCGTAGTACAGAGGGTCAGGCAGAGGGACAGAAACAGGATGCAGGACAGATACAGGGCCCAGGACAAACACAACACCAAGGCAGAGTCTGTGGGTCTGGCCATCCCTTAAATACCCCAGCATCATCAGTTCCAGTTGTTAGCTGGCTGAAAGGTTGAGTCTCTGATTGCTGGGAGCACCCGCTGGCCAGCCCTGGTACTGCAGATCAAAAGGCAGGTGAGTCCCACCATTGCTGGCCAGTCCATTCTAACAGTACCCCCCCCCCCCCCCAAGGAGCGCCTCAGGACGCTCCAAACAGTCCTAGCTGGGCAAAATGTTCCACTGCCCGGGTCTGGTAACTGGCGGGATATCAAAGACTGGCACACCGGGCAGGACTCCCGGGCAGCGGCACACCGGGCTGGACTCCGGGCAGAGGCACACCGGGCTGGACTCCGGGCAGAGGCACACCGGGCTGGACTCCGGGGCAGAGGCACATCGGGCTGGACTCCGGGCAGAGGCACATCGAGCAGCAGAGGCACACCGGGCAGAGGCACACCGGGCAGAGGCACATCAGGCAGAGGCACATCGGGCAGGACTCCGGGCAGAGGCACATCGGGCAGAGGCACATCGGGCAGGACTCCGGGCAGAGGCACATCGGGCAGGACTCCGGGCAGAGGCACATCGGGCAGGACTCCGGGCAGAGGCACATCGGATTACCAGGCGAAGCAGCAGGCAGCGGGCCACCAGGCGGAGCAGCAGGCACCGGGCCCCCGGGCGGAGCAGCAGGCACCGGGCCCCCGGGCGGAGCAGCAGGCACCGGGCCCCCCCGGGCGGGGCGACATGCATCGGGCCCCCGGGCGGAGCAGCAGGCACCGGGCCCCCGGGCGGAGCGGCAGGCTCCGGGCCCCCGGGTGGAGCGGCAGGCACCGGGCCCCCGGCGCGGGGCGACAGGCACCGGGCCCCCGGGCGGGCGACAGGCATCGGGCCCCCGGGCGGGGCAGCAGGCACCGGGCCCCCGGGCGGGGCAGCAGGCTCCGGGCCCCCGGGCGGGGCAGCAGGCTCCGGGCCCCCGGGCGGGGCGACATGCAATGGGCCCCGGGCGGAGCAGCAGGCACCGGGCCCCCGGGCGGAGCAGCAGGCAACCGGGCCCCCCCCCGGGCGGAGCAGCAGGCACCGGGCCCCCGGGCGGGGCGACAGGCATCGTGCCCCCAGGCGGGGCGACAGGCATCGTGCCCCCAGGCGGGGCGACAGGCATCGTGCCCCCAGGCGGAGCGGCGGGCGCCCGACCCCCAGGCGGAGCGACAGGTCTCGGGCCCTCAGGCGGAGCGGCGGGCGCCGGACCCCCAGATGGAGCGACAGGTCTCGGGCCCTCAGGCGGAGCGGCGGGCGCCGGACCCCCAGGATGGGAGCGACAGGTCTCGGGCCCTCAGGCGGAGCGGCGGGCACCGGACCCCCAGGCGGAGCGACAGGTCTCGGGCCCTCAGGCGGAGCGGCGGGCACCGGACCCCCAGGCGGAGCGACAGGTCTCGGGCCCTCAGGCGGAGAGGCGGGCGCCGGACCCCCAGGAGGAGCGACAGGTCTCGGGCCCTCAGGCGGAGCGGCGGGCGCCGGACCCCCAGGCGGAGCGACAGGTCTCGGGCCCTCAGGCGGAGCGGCGGGCGCCGGACCCCCAGGCGGAGCGACAGGTCTCGGGCCCTCAGGCGGAGCGGCGGGCGCCGGACCCCCAGGAGGAGCGACAGGTCTCGGGCCCTCAAGCGGAGCGGCGGGCGCCGGACCCCCAGGCGAAGCGACAGGTCTCGGACCCTCAGGCGGAGTGGCGGGCGCCGGACCCCCAGGGCGGAGCGACAGGTCTCGGGCCCTTAGGCGGAACGGCAGGTCTCAGGCCCCCAGGCGGGGCGGCGGGCACCGAGTCACCAGGCACAACCGTGGGCTCCGAGTCAACTGGGATGACCGCTGGCACTGGGTCAGACATTGGATCGTCTGGCTGGACAGCGGGCATCGGGTCACCAGGCATCAGGTCATTTGGCTCGACAGCGGGCACCGCGTCATCTGGCAAGGCAGTGGGCTCCGAGTCAACTGGTATGACCGCGGGCACTGGGTCAGACATTGGATCGTCTGGCTGGACAGCGGGCACTGGGTCACCAGGCATCAGGTCATTTGGCTCGACAGCGGGCACCGCGTCATCTGGCAAGGCAGTGGGCTCCGAGTCAACAGGCACGACAGTGAGCACCGGGTCATCAGGTACCGGATTGTCTGGCTCGACAGCGGGCATCGGGTCACCAGGTATGACAGCGGGCACTGGGTCACCAGGCATCAGGTCATTTGGCTCGACAGCGGGCACCGGATCAGGTACCGGATCATCTGGATCAACAGCGGGCATCGAGTCAACTGGCCTAATAGGATCGTCAGGCTGGATCAGTTCATCATGCTGGGTAGAGGCGTCCGGCTGAGTTGAGGCTTCAGGCCGAGTAGAGGCTTCAGGCCGAGTAGAGGCATCAGGCCGAGTAGAGGCTTCAGGCCGAGTAGAGGCATCAGGCCGAGTAGAGGCTTCAGGCCGAGTAGAGGCTTCAGGCCGAGTAGAGGCTTCAGGCCGAGTAGAGGCATCAGGCCGAGTAGAGGCTTTCAGGCCGAGTAGAGGCATCAGGCCGAGTAGAGGCTTCAGGCCGAGTAGAGGCTTCAGGCCGAGAGAGGCATCAGGCCGAGTAGAGGCTTCAGGCCGAGTAGAGGCATCAGGCCGAGTAGAGGCATCAGGCCGAGTAGAGGCTTCAGGCCGAGTAGAGGCTTCAGGCCGAGTAGAGGCATCAGGCCGAGAAGAGAGGCATCAGGCCGAGTAGAGGCATCAGGCTGAAGAGAGGCATCAGGCTGCATACAGGCATCAGGCTGAAGAGAGGCATCAGGCTGAGTAGAGGCATCAGGCTGAGTAGAGGCTTCAGGCTGAGTAGAGGCTTCAGGCTGAGTAGAGGCTTCAGGCTGAGTAGAGGCTTCAGGCTGAGTAGAGGCTTCAGGCTGAGTAGAGGCTTCAGGCTGAACCACGGAAGGCAGGCTCACCGGTTTGGATACTGGCAGGATGGTATTGGTTGGAAAGAATTTTTCGCTTTTTTCTGGTTTTAACTACTGGAGCACTGCAAGTAAACGCAGGTCTGCAAACGAATGGAGCAGCTGGAGACAGAGAAGAACTGGAGGATGGAACAGGAGAGGGAGCGGTTGCTACAGAGGGCTCTTTTTTACAGGGTTAAAGGCAGGATAGGTGCAGCGAGTGGGAACAGGGTACTGACATGCGGTAGATAGCAGGGCAGGAGGAGCTGTTGGGAATGCAGGAATAGAGTTTTGAGGAAATAGATTAGAAGCAGGACTGGGTCTTTGTAAGCTGACTGAGGCTGGGTGCAACAAAAATCTGTCCATGTCTGCAGTATGGGTTGAACAAAGCTCAGCTTACACAAAGCCTGTCTGGTCAATGACTGTACTGCGTTTATACAATCTCTTAGTGTCTGTGGTGAACATGTGGAATAACGCTCCAGAAAGTAACCCACATCATCCTCTAATAACCACACCAGGGACTCTACCTGGTCTGCACTAAATGGTGGCAAAAATTCATCCCTGCATTCGGGGGTACCAGATGAAACCAACTCAGCACAAACCTCAATCAATGGCTGCACCTCAGAGAACTCTGTGCCCTGATCTACTAGAACATGAGCGAGCCGTATACATTCTAGCAGTTCATCCCGGGTATACTCCTTCAGAGTTTGATAAGCATACTCCCTGTCATCAAACACTAGCAGATATAAATATTCAACCTCATCAAGATCCATCCTTCCCATCAACAAGCCAAGATGGCTTCCCTGTGCAGCCACTTCTGGTCAGGATTGGCCTTGGTGTAATGTCAGGGCTCCCAGGTATGACCAGAGGTGTGTGACTGATGCAGGGAAACGCAGACTTCAGATATGTGATAAACAATACAATTTATTAACACTAACCATACAAACATAAACGCAGTGCAATACTAAACATAATACAGTGCAAACAAACCCAACCAACCACCCACAGATAACAGTACATACAAGCAAGCGTCGTCAGGCAGGCCGGGTCAATATCAATTGGGCAGGTAGGTACAGGGGGAGCAAGCAGAGATTGGTCGGGGTCACAGGCCAGGTTCAGCAGGTAGCAAGCAGCGTAGTACAGAGGGTCAGGCAGAGGGATGGTCAGGGTCACAAGCCAGGGATCAAAACAGGTAACAAGCAGCGTAGTACAGAGGGTCAGGCAGAGGGACAGAAACAGGATGCAGGACAGATACAGGGCCCAGGACAAACAACACCAAGGCAGAGTCTGTGGGTCTGGCCATCCCTTAAATACCCCAGCATCATCAGTTCCAGGTGTTAGCTGGCTGAAAGGTTGAGTCTCCGATTGCTGGGAGCACCCGCTGGCCAGCCCTGGTACTGCAGATCAAAAGGCAGGTGAGTCCCACCATTGCTGGCTAGTCCATTCCTAACAAAACCCCTTACGGAGGTTTTCGTCTATGTACTCTTTAGTACCCCTAACTCTCGTTCGGAAAAAGGAAATATCCGCCTAAATGGAATTTCAGACCCTGGGAGGAGTCCACTGGGCAGTCATAAGCTCGGTGCGGGGGAAGAGTATCTGCCCCCCGCTTACTAAACACATCTAAAAAGCTGTGGTAGGCTGAAGGAATGACTTGAGCCAGCTCTGCATCCGTCTCCAGACATAACAAGGACTGCGGAACAGGGGAGGTCTTAGGGAGGCAATGCTGCTGGCAGTAGGTTGAATGGAAATGGATAGACCCCCGCCTTCCAGTCAACCTGGGGACTGTGAGCTCGTAGCCAAGGGAGCCCCAAGATAATTGGAAATAATGGGGATGCTATGGCATCCAAACGAAGGAGTTCCTGATGATGGGTCGACACTGTAGTACGGATAGGTGGGGTTTCATGGTCCACTACCCCTGACCTAATATGGGACCCATCTGCTAAGAAAATATTCAATCCCACCTCCTTCGTCTGTAGGGGAATCTGCTGCTGAGCTGCAAAGTCCAAATCTATAAAGCAGCTACATGCCCCAGAGTCCACAATTGCTGTGGTTACCACAGTTCTCCCAGGCAGCTGAAGTGAAACAGGTATCGCTAGATAACTGGTGTTGCCCATACCTTTAGAATTGACCGTAGAAAAAACAGCGGAACACTTACCCATCTTGGCTGGACAGGTACGCACCACATGGCCTGCTTCCCCACAATAAAGGCAAAGATGGTTTACCTGATGCCTCTGGCGTTCCTCAAGTGTAAGTGTCTGCCGTAACCTTCCTGATAACCCGGGCCTCGGTGTATCCATAGCTTTCTGATTCTGGTTGACCCGCCGAAACTGAGAGTGGATTAGAGCATGAGAAGGTATTCCAGTTGGCCTCTGTCCTTGGTTGGACCTTTCCTGCCTGCGCTCCCCGCAACCAGCGGTCATTTGAATAGTCAAGGTTATTAAGGCCTGTAAAGTACTGGGTATGTCTACTCAGGCCAACTCGTCCTTCAATGATTCAGCTAAACCCATGCAGAACTGGTGGTGCAGGACCGCCTCATTCCATTTGGTGTCATTACACCAACGCCTGAATTCGGCAGCATAGTCCTCCACTGTTTGGTGACCTTGCCTCAGTGTATGTAAGGCCATCGCTGCCTGCTGGGGGTCGTCATACAAGAGTGCCATCGCCTCAAAAAATACTGTCACCTTTTCCAACTGTGGATCTCGGTTCTCTAAGAGCCGGTGGGCCCAGTTTTGGGGTTCACCCTGTAGTAGGGAAATGATGAACCCAACCCTCACAGATTCTGAGAAAAATGTCCGAGGCTGGAGGTTGAAGTATAACTGACAGGAGCTACGAAATGCCCTGAAATCTATTTTGGTTCCCATTAAAACGTTCAGGTGTGGGGACACAGGGTTCTGGGAGGGGTAACAACCCTGGTGTCTCCCCAGTGTTAGCATATGTCATCCAGAGGGGAAGTTCCCCTTCCAGGCTCAGTCATGGCCCACAAGGTACTGTCAGGCTCTGCCCAACGGGATCTCTAGTGGTCCACAGAACGGGGTTCCCCGGGACGCGGAGTCTAAGTCCCTGTCTGCCTTTTCACCAGGGCCCCTGATGGTGGGGATGGACTTGGTGCAAGACTGAAACCAGGTCGCGACCCCTGGGTGCACCCAACTATGGTAGAAGGGTCCCGCTGAGGGTATATGCCAGGGATGAGCCTGCTGTGAATTGGTTGACAGGTCCGAGCGGGATGGATAGATCACCGCCAGGAGTGAGCGTGGTCAGACTAGCCGGGTCGGTAACGGTGGGGACAGGCGTGGTACAAAAGCAGCAGACAGAGAGTAGTCAGGTCACACGCTGGGTTCAGTAACAGGAGGTCCAAATAACAGTAACGACAGGCAGAGGAATGGTCAGGGATGAGCCGGGGGTCAGAGCAGGAGAAGGTCAGCATGGATCAGAACAGGCAGGGTCGGCAACAAGGAACGCACTACAGGAACACAGGTATTCGGAACTAGACCTTACGGCAATGAGAACACTGCCTGGCCAGTTTAAATAGCGCGCCCTGCACCGTCATTGGTGCCAGGCGCATGCCCACGTGCTCGAGTGCGCATGCGCGGCCGCAGACGCCCAGGTCCTAATGCCCACATATTGAAGTGCCTGGGCGATCCGCTCATGCGGAGCCCGAGGTCCCTGACACACACTGTTATTATTCTTAGAATTGAATAATGATTTTTTCTTCAAATTACTATGTTGGATATTTTCTATTTCGTGACTTCTTTCTTTAATGGGATTCTGTATAAAATATTTCTTTAAATTCAAACTTCTTATTAATTTTTGCAGGCTATCATACGTTTCAAATTTATTAAGTCCTTTTGCAGGTGCAGATTTTAGGCCCTTATCTAACACTTTAATTTCCTCATCCTTTAAAAAAGGATAAAAGAGCATACTAGTGGGGGCGCATGTGCGGCCGACTCTGGGATGGACACGCTGTGATCAGAGCTCCGTCCACCCTCCAGCTCAGACGTGGCTCAAACTAGCACCAGGGAGTACCGAGTGCCCGACCCAGCCCATAAGGATCCGGGGACACCCGACACACGATGCCACGCCACCGCAAAGCACCAGGACAGCCAGGGAAGCTTACAAGCTTCTTCCCTGCTGTCACCTCATGCAGCCAAGATGGCGCTGGCTGCTTAACAAACGGCCACAGCACCTATACAGGAGATACTACACAGCACTAGCTGGATCCTTGGCTCGGAGCACCACTGTACCAAGGAGACCTGGGTGAGTCCTCTCCTCCCCTGTCTCCCACTACAAGCAGCCCAGCCAAATCCAAACCCAGACTGGACACTGACTCCCATACTGACAGTCAGCACCTCTCCGCACAGATATTACCTCAGAATATTACTCCATCTCTGATCGAATTTTTCCCTGATTCTGACCAACCTATCACTGAAATAGCCAAGTAAAACATGCTTCTCTCTCTGCAACAAACACTCACAACGATATGA